GAGAGAGAGAGAGAAAGAGAAGCCATGAAGAGATTTAACATAGCATTATTCCTACTTTATGCTTCTAATAAAATTGTTTTAACGTACATGATGATGAATTTTTTATGATAATATTATCGTTCTCAATTTACCATTTTACTATGCACTACGTTCCTTCTGATTCCACAAGTCAAACTGTTAATCTTACATAGCTTGTACTTTTTATTTATTTTATTTGTTGCTTACATTGATTACACTATCCACCTATTTAAAAAATCATATACAAAATATAAAAAATCTTACGATTTCAAACTAAATATTACGAACTTAAAACTTAAATTCGGTACACGTACAACACACGTGCACCTTACTAGTTTATAAAAAATTGAGTTTATATTAAAATAATCACGAAAATAAAATAATTAAACTTGATTTAATGTAAAAATAAGAGAGATGATATGAAGTGATTGTCAGTTAAAATTATGTGAGTGGACGAATAGTGCATTAAAATTGATGAGATTAGTAAAAATGATCCATCATAATTATTTAATTGTATTGATAATATCAAGAATAGTAGAGTTAAGTTAAAATTGAGTCAAATTTTAACTATTGATTGAATATGAATTGAGTATTTTTCTTTACAAACACACCCTAAGTTAACTCCAAATGTCCTGACCGCACAGAAATGAAAAGGACAACATTTGAATTTGGTCCAATTCAGTGTAATAATGGGATTTTCCCCTAAACCCAAAGTGCCTAGAAAAAGTATAAGCTAAAATGCAAGAACCTACAAATTCTTACATACATTGAAAAAAATCTATATTACATCATATGAACTAAATCTTGAGAAAAAAAAGATAAATTTTTTTTTTCACAGTCAGAAAAAGTTATTTCCATCAAAGCTCAATACAGCCAATAATCATAAAGTCCTCGAGTACTTTTTAATTTCATACATCTTGTTCAACCCAGACCCACCTCCAATTCTCTTCATGCAATCCGAAAGCCTCGTATAACAAAGCAATAGGTGAGTCAATGCAGCCCTCAGGATTTCCATACCACACAGGATGTTGCTAAAGGAAGTTATGACGTCATTGTTCGTCTGCTCTATAGCCGCTTTCCATCCACTGGCGAAGTCCTTGATAACCGGCTCGATTTCAGCCACAGTAATTGCACGCTCTGTACAAGAAACTGGGCCCTCCGCTGAAAAAAAAACACAAGGATGCAAATCAAATGGTTGTTTGAGATTTCATGACATATAATTTTCCACAAATTGAATCCAAGATTTAATTTGAGATACGTACAGGCTCTGGTCTTCACATATGTTTTGCTAGATCACCGAAATGTTCCACAAGTAGTACACC